ATCTTACTATATCGTTCCTACTAATTCTAGCGTCTGGGTTGGCATCAGTTGATACCATCTCATTGTGGTTCATGTTTCCCTGCCTCTTTGCATGTTTGGTAATCTTTGGATGCTAGACATTGTGAGTTTTACCTTTTGGGGTGCTGGGTATTTTATTCCTGTAAATCTTCCAGAGCTTCGTACTGGGAAGCAGTACTTGGAAACAATTTGATCCTTTTGGGTTTTGCTTTCATGATTTGTTAGGTGGGTGTGGAACATTGTTCATTTGGGGCTGATTATTCCCCACTATTGAGGCATGATCTTCCTGGTCTGGCTAGTGGGAACAGGGACTGATCCCAGCCTGTGTAAGCTCTGGGTGCTGTTCTTCTAAAACTCTTCAGATGGTTCATTTCCCGGTCTCAAGTAGTTTCCTCAGACATATGTGTTGCTTAGTAATCTGCTGAGTATCAAGGCGACCCTCTGCCTGTCTCTGGGGATTTCTCTCTACAGTTATTTCCTCCCTCATACATGCCCTGTGGGCTCCAGCTGCCTTGAGCACCATCACAGTTCCCCATTCCCAAGGCACTGTAGTTTGTAAGTAGGACTCACCATCTCTCAGGGAATCACTGTCCTTCACCTCTATGTCCAGGGTCTTAAAAATAATTGTTTTTGCTATTGTCTGGGTTGCAACAGGTCTCCTCTCTCCTATCTCCTCTCTCTTCCTCCCTCTTTCCCCCTTTCCCTTTTTTGGGGGCAGATTTGTTTGTTTATTTAGTGAGGATTTTTTTGTTTCTTTTGGTGGTTTAGTTAGGAGGGTAACTCTGATCCATTCTTCCATCTTGGCCAAAACTACCTGTTTTGATGTCCCAGCTTCTGTTATGTTCTGCATTCAGCACTGACCACCTTAGTTCCCATTCTAGAAAAACACTATATGCACATTCATTCCTGCTTCTTCAGAGACACTGCTTCCTCTTCTGCATCACCTCTTCCCCAAGCCTGACAACTTAGAACCATATATAAAGTGGTCTGTTCTTCCCTGTTGGGGAACCCTCCTCCCTACCACCTCCTTGCCCCTGTAGCCTGTGACAGTTGTGTAATATCCTGCCCAGCTGTGGGGTTATTGTTTACCTTTTGGACTTAGATTATAGGAAATCCCCCTTCTCAGGTCTAAGGAACCCCACTATTACGAACAACACCACTCAGCCCTTCCCTATGAAGATTTCTTTTCCACGGAAGTGAGTGAGATTGACAGAGAGTGACTTTGATCAGAAGTTCTGGAACTCATCTGACATGGGGTCAGAGAATAAGGATCCTCAGCGAAGCTCCTGCTTAAAGCTCCTTGACTTAGAAATTCTGTTTCTTGGGTTTTGTGGTTTTTAAAATAGTAGGAAGAGGCTTCACCCCTCTATGTCCCAGAAAAGCCTAAGGGAACTGGGGTTAGAAGGACATCCTCCCAGACCCACAGTCTCTGTACTGAAGAGCATCCACTTCTCCAGGCTGGCTCAGAAGGAGGTAGAGCCTGGGTCCCACCTTGTGCTCCCAGCCTGGTACCAGTCAGCTTGAAGCATTTCACCTTCAGGCAAAGAAGGGTGAAGCTATGTAACATCTGGAGTTGCAGTGTATTTAATGAGGTATAAAAGGAAAGTATAGGGAGTCTATTTCAGTATCATGTGGTTTTTCATTATAATCAAACTATGATCTTACCCTGGTTGGGATCATTTTCAAATTTGGCAGAAAATAAGATATTTCTTTTGTAGGTATACTATATATTTTAAACTTTTGACGTGCAACCCATTAGTGTATCATGAAATAAATTTAGGGGGTTACAATCAACAGTCTTTTTGAAAATGAGGAGTACATCTCATTTAATAGTAATGTAGTAATTATTAGAGGTAAATTTTGTTTCTTTAAACAGATTTATGTGTGTACTGGGTCTTGCCATAGCACACAGGTCTGTTACAGTCAGTGATAGCTCTTAGTGGCACAGGTTGTTGAGTTCCACTTTGCTCTTCCTCTCATGGCAGCAGTACAGTGGGATGTGCTAAGTAAATGTCACATAAAGATTTACCTCATACCAACTGGATTTCTTTCAGCTGCAAGTAATAACTGAAACCTGACTTGAGGCAAAACAGACTTTTTTTTTTTT